GAGGGTTAGAGGGTTAGAATTCCCTGGGAATTCCCAGGAGGGTTAGAGGGTTGGAATTCCCTGGGAATTCCCAGGAGGGTTAGAGGGTTAGAATTCCTTGGGAATTCCTGGGAGGGTTAGAGGGTTAGAATTCCCAGGAGGGTTAGAGGGTTGGAATTCCCTTGGAATTCCCGGGAGGGTTAGAGGGTTAGAATTCCTTGGGAATTCCTGGGAGGGTTAGAGGGTTGGAATTCCCAGGAGGGTTAGAGGGTTAGAATTCCCTGGGAATTCCCGGCAGGGTTAGAGGGGGATCCAAGGGACGGGAGGAATGTGGGCAAGGGAGATGCTTTTAACGGGAATCTTGAGAAATCTGGGATACCTGGCCCTGCCAACGGTGCTGGATTCCCACCCGGAGGGGGGGACAACGTGGGAAGGAACCAAATCCAGGCTCCCCAGAGGGAGCTGCCCTGGGAATTCCAAAGGCTTTGATCCACCCGGAGGGCTCTGGAATGCGGGGACGGGAATTCTGCCACCCCCGTGGGGGGAGCTGTGGGGTGTGGGTGTGTCCCTTTTTCCAGGGAAAAGCGATTCCAGAGGGAGCCTTTTCCCCCCCCCGCAGTGAGCGACCCCCGGCTGTGCTACGTGGGCACGGAGCCCTGGAAGCCGAAGGAGGCGCTGGAGGAGGGCGGGATCATCACGGACAGGGCCGACATCTTCGCCTTCGGCCTCACCCTGTGGGAGATGCTGACCCTGAGCATCCCACACCTGACCCTGGACAGCGGGGACGAAGGTTGGGAGCCTCCGCGTTCCCGGCGGGAATCGTCCCTCGGTGTCCCGGCTGAGCCTGCCCTGGGACAGCCCTTTCCATGTGGGAATTATTCCCAGCTGAGCCTGCCCTGGGACAGCCCTTTCCATGTGGGAATTGTTCCCAGTATTCCAGCTGAGCCTGCCCTGGGACAGCCCTTTCCATGTGGGAATTGTTCCCGGCTGAGCCTGCCCTGGGACAGCCCTTTCCATGTGGGAATTATTCCCAGAACCAAGCTGAGCCTGCCCTGGGACAGCCCTTTCCATCTGGGAATTGTCCCCAATATTCCAGCTGAGCCTGCCCTGGGACAGCCTTTTCCATGTGGGAATTATTCCCGGCTGAGCCTGCCCTGGGACAGCCCTTTCCATGTGGGAATTGTTCCCAGTATTCCAGCTGAGCCTGCCCTGGGACAGCCCTTTCCATGTGGGAATTGTTCCCAGCTGAGCCTGCCCTGGCACAGCCCTTTCCATCTGGGAATTGTTCCCAATATTCCAGCTGAGCCTGCCCTGGGACAGCCCTTTCCATCTGGGAATTATTCCCAGCTGAGCCTGCCCTGGGACAGCCCTTTCCATGTGGGAATTGTTCCCAGTATCCCACCTGATATCCCAATATCCCTGGCCCAGCTGGAGGCCGTTCCCTCTCCTCCTGTTCCCTGGGAATTGGGACCCTCCTGGAACTTCCTTCCAGGGAATTGTAGGAGCTGGGACAGTGCCAGGATGGCACAGAATCCTTAGGGATGCTTCAGGTTGGAAAAACCCTCTGAGATCACGGAATCCAACCATTCCCAGCACTGCCCAGCCCACCCCTGACCCGTGTCCCCAAGGGCCACATCCACAGGGATCTGAAATCCCTCTGGGAATGGTGACTCCAGCCCTGCCCTGGGAAGTTCATTCCAAGGTTTAACCACCATTTCCATGTGGGAATTGTTCCCAATATCCCACCTGAGCCTGGAGGGATATTGGAGGCCTTTCCCTCTCCTCCTGTTCCCTGGGAATTGGGGAACGCCCCCCGGCTCCCCCTTCCTGTCAGGGAGTTGTGGAGTGGGAAAAGGTCCCTCCTGATCCCTCTTTTCTCTGGGATGAGCCCTCCCAGCTCCCTCAGCTGCTCCAGCCCCTTCCCGGCTCCCTCAGCCATTCCCGGTTCTCCAGCCCCTTCCCAGCTCCATTCCCTTCCCTGGACACGGAGATGCTGCCAGGGCTGGAGCCCCTCTGCTCTGGCTCCGGGCTGGGAGAGCTGGGAATGGCCAGGCTGGAGAAGGGAAGGATCCCGGGAGAGCT